GAAGAGCTAGGATCTTTATGAATTTGAGTTTTGTCTGTATGAATTTATAAAGGAGTTTACTTCTTGTTTTATGCAGGACCCTATTGGAGCTCAGTCCTGAGAGAACAAGAAGCAACACTACTGGGACTGGTTAAGAAACTTACATTGTGTAGCCAAGTTATTCCCCTCCAACCCAATGCCATTGTCTTCCCCAAAAAACTTAAATTGTAAATGGAATTTTCAGTATATACATATGTTTACTTTGTGCTTAAAAGGCTGTTTTGTTCATTGTGGACGTAAGTTGTGTTAGCAGCTGTATAGGCAGTACATAGATAATATAATTTTTCTTCTGATAGTATATCAATTTCCTTGAAGCAACTCATTTTATCTTAATTTCAAGTTTCAGCTACTTGAGTTATTTATATTGATGGCAATTTTCTGGTTCTGAATGCAAAATATTTGTGGCGTGCCATCGATCACAACTTGTTCCAAGCTGCGCTGCTTTTGGTAGAGGTTATTTTGAGGTGGTTCTGAGTCTTCTTGATTTTGGTTGATGATGGAGAAAAAAATGGTGGTAGTAGAAGAAGTAATAGCAGAATGGAGAGGATAAAAAAAGTATGGCATCTTTAAAATTGGAAGAGAAGAAGCTGCATAGAACCATCCCAACACTTTTCACAATTGGATTTGGATAACGGCAGAAAGAAAACGATAAAATTCAGTCAAACGATGGACCATTTTTACATTTTATTATAATAACAATACCAAAACAGTTACCGTACTCCTTCCAAAACTTATAATCCATTGGCAACAACTTTCAATGTTTATTCAAAATATCTTTTCTATCTCTTGAATTAATACATTTAACTAAAATAAATGTTATTTGGGGTGGTAACCAGGTTCTAAAAACCGGATTGGTTCCCAAGTTCACCAGTTCGACTCATGACGTCAGGAACAAAAATATACCCCATAGCAGTCCATACAATAGAGATATAATGTAACAAATACGCCTAGTACAACTTTTTAAATACAAATCTTAATACCATAAATTTGCATTCTCTTACATGACTATCAATTTCAATTATTATACATGCCCTTCTTTCTTCTTTTCTTTGTGCTACATTCTATACATTAATCTATATTGTCATATTAATCATTATAAATTCAATCTAACATATGGCACAACATATATATTTTGGCTAAATTCTAATTTCTTTCTAACATTCTTAACTAAACTTTTGGCCAATACAAAAAATTCTCAAAATATTATAGAACAATTCTATAGCTTGTAATATATAATAAGGCATGAAAACTATACTCATACCAATCAATTTCTAAAATGGTCATGTATTTAATGCAAAACCAAACTTCTATTTCTTTGATGTTTCTTTTGATATCTATACTTGGGAAAACTTTTCTATTCTTTAAGCAATAAAATCACTTATTGTTTGTAATTAATCTCAAAACAAGAAACAACAATATACTCATTTGGCCAAGCCATCTTCTTGCGTCTTGAAAAATTTTCTCTTCTCCTAGCTTTGTTAACCCTAGCGTCATTCGTTTTACCACCCTCACATTTCTTACTAGCCTATTTGTTTCTCATTATCATACTCCATTCTATGCACTGCATGGAGTCTAATTGAAAGCTTCTTCAACTACCTTCTTCACACTCTACCATCATTTCCTACCATCTTCATCACTTGGGTTAACCAAAACCAAGAAAACCTAAAACCAACTCTTGCTACAGTTGAAGATTTTGAAGAAGTTGAAGTAAGAGGTAACCTAATTGAGCATGATCTAAAGCAAATTGGAATTCATAGATAGGCAGCTAGTGTCTCTGTAGAGACATGGTGATGGTTAATTTGCCATGTTGCTATATTGAGAATGTAATTCATGACTTTGCAATTAGTACACGTGGTACAAAGGTTGGAATTGGCCGTTATTTGGACTTTGTAGTAATTTAGTAAGTTGTGACGGTTATTTGTCAATTAGTTTAATTTTGTTGTGAAGTATTTTCTGATTCTTTACTTTATTAATGTATCCAATAAAGGTATTGTTGTTGCTTGTCCTGTTTATCATCCAACTCGATTGGACCATGACATAGAACGTCTAGCGGATGAATTCCTAGAGCGGGCTGAGCGTTAGAAGCTCATACGTAAAGCCCAAATGTCCTAAATGAGCATGTCCTGTTCAAACGGCTATAACTTTTGATCTGGAAGGAGTTTCGGGGCCTATAAGATATTAATAGAAAGCTCTTTTCGAGCCTACAATGTGTTTAGTTGGTTAGAGGTCATTTTCAAGGTCAAAATCCACCGTTTTGACGTGTTTTAGGGTTATTTTAGTTTTTTGCGCGTTTTTTCCTATTTTATTTTGGGTTTTCATGTTTTAATTAATTTAGATTTTGTTTTCTTTGTTATTAGGAGTCTTATTAGAGTTGGTTGTCATCCTGTATAAACTTATTTTTTGTTTTGGATGCTACACAATGAATTATTCAGATTTTATTTCAAATTTTAAGGCTTAAGTTTTTGTGATTGAGACTTGTTATCAGTTTTAAATGTATAGTCAAGTGCTAACCTTGTTGTTATGCTAACTCGCTGTGTCATATCAAGTTTATGGTTACTGAAAGCTATCTTTGTTGTTGGATTTTGATATATTTCATCTTGGTAAAAAAGAAAAAAAATCCTATGTTAACCGTTGGATTACTCCTATCCAAATTAAAACAAAATCTAGAAAATAAAAAAATTGGAACTATGGGCAGTGAAAAAAAAGAAGGTAAAAGTGCAAAATCTGGTCACTTGTGCCACTGCTAAAACTAGCTTCTCTAGAACACAATTCCAGAGATGATGTCAGATCTAATCCCTTTTCAGAAACTCCGGTTTCTGTCGTTATATTGTCTAAAGAATTTGAAGAGCATCTTCGGGAAGGCCTTGCCCTTCCAACATCTCAAGGAAATTGAAGTATTTGACAGCCCTAAGCTTAAGAAGCTTCCACTAGATTCAAATAGTGCAAAGGAACATAAAATTGTTATCAAGGGACAGAAAGAGTGGTGGAAAGAGTTGCAAGGGGAGGATGAAGCCACTCTAAATGCTTTTCTTCCTTGTTTCAAATCTCTCGGAGGGTTATTAAGGGCACTAATTGAGCTAGGAAAATGAAAGGCTGTGCAACAACCATTGGGCCTACTTTTTCAGAACTGTATTAGAGGTCCATCCCTCCTCCTTTCCCAAGGTTTGATCTAATCTTTTATAATTTTGAAAAATTGGATTATTACTTGTACAAATATTTCGCAGTCAAAGGATAAGATTAGTATAATTTATAATGGTGAAGCGAATTTTATAATATTTAACTTTGGCTATGCATTTTCTTTCTTACTTTTAAGTTTTAATTCCTATTTTGGTTTGCCTTGTGAACTTCGATGAAATTCCCATTATAATTCTAATTGTTCATAGAACAGAGTGCAGCAAAATGAATTCTTTAAACTCTGTATAATTCTATCATCTGTTTCTCTTGTTTCATACTCGGTAGTTTAACAACCAGCAGACCTGCTATTGAATGAGTTACAGAAATTTCTCTTCCTCGTGAAAGGTTTGAACTCTCTTATAATTCTATCATCTCTTCAATACTCTGTAGCTTTAGTTTACATGATGAACTTTAAATTTCTTATTAATTTGGAAAAATAATTGATTTTTTATTGGACAGAGAAAGGAAGTATTGAACTACTACTTTTAAAACAAGACTTGCAGCTAGGAAGAAGCTAACTAAAAAACCCAATCAGGCAAGTAAAAGTGCAAAATCTGGTCACTTGTGTTGCGCCACAGCTAAGACTGGCTCCTCTGGAACACAATCCCATTTTGAATATCAAACTTGGTGGTGAGTATAAATAGCTCCTCCGGAATAATTGATGGTTTATTGGGCACAGAAAGGAAGAATTGAATTAGTTCTTTACAACACAGACTTTAGAGTACATGCTGTCAATATTAATCTGACTACTGATGGTAAAGCAGAATCTATCACTAAAGTTGATCCAGGAGGTTGGAATTCTTGACCTTCAAAAGGCTGCATGCATTGTCTTCTGTAGCACTCACATAAAAATGCAAATACTGTCCAAAAGCTGTATCAAGCTTTGCCTCTCGGCAGTTAAATGTGATACAACATGCATTCCTCTTATCAAGCTGATCATTCCATTGAAAGAAAGGCTACTAGTTGTACTATTAAACAAAGGAAATTAACAGAACATGTAAGTAATCAATCAATAACCATTCTAAATTAAACTGCAGAACACAATTAAGTATATTAACCTTCCACAGGTTTGCACCACAAAGTAGAGCTTCTAATGCCACATTCAACAGCATTTTGCAGTGCCTCATAAATTCACGATTGTTATTGATCTATCTGCAAATAATTCAATAAACATAGTTTTCAGATCAGATGTTTGAAGTCCGCGGATTCATGGTAATATGCAAGAAGATAATAAAGTATATTCTATATGACATAAAAACATAAAATCTATTTAATATTCTTCCAATAATCTAACATGTCTTTCCGCAAATTTTAAAAGTAGTATATTTTTTATGTGAGAAGAAGATTCAAATTCTTTGTTCTCCATAACATAAAAACATAAAGTACATTCTATATGTCAAGAAACTAGTTAGCACTTAGATACCAGTGATGCGAATTTCACATCCAACAATCTGGCGCTAGAAATAAATTTATTTCAGATGTGCGAAGGACAAGGCCTTCACAATAGATGCTCTTCACATTTTAATGAAATAACAAATACTTCAAAACAAAGGAGATATTTGTTTTGGGTTTTCAATCTAACCAATCTTCAAGTAATTTTTGAAAAGTCTTTAAAGAAATCCTAAATAGCAGTTGGGGTTAGATTTGATATTGGAAGTAATTAATTAATAATCTAAAGATATCTCAATGAGTCTGTGATGCTCATATAAATAATTATTTTCTAATTAGATAAAATTTTAAAGATTTTTTCAAGCAATCTTGACAACACTACAAGCTACATTCAGTAATCAACAATTTTTGAAACAAATATAGATAAAATTGCATACCAGAAAGAAACAAGGAAGAAAAGCATTCCGAGTGGCTTCGTCCTCCCATTGCAAATTTTTCCACCACTCTTCGTCTCCCTCGATAACAATTTTATGTTCCTTTGCACTATTGGCATCCAGTGGAAGCTTCATAAGCTTTGGGCAGAAACTTACATAAATTTCCTTGAGATGTGGGAAGGGCAAGGCCTTCCCAAAGATGCTCTTCAAATTCTTTAGACAATCTAACAAAAGAAATTGGAGTTTCTGAAAAGGGATTATATCTGACATCATCCCTGGAACTTCACCCAATTTTTCAACATTGATGATTTCTTTCATCGCATCACAACTGTGTATAGAAAGAAACTTGAGGTTTGGAATAAAAGCAATCCATGTCAAATCCCTCAAACAGTTGCAATTTGATAGTGTTATATCGTGAAGACTGGAGAAACTAGATGGTTCCCGTATTTTTTGTACATCCCCTACCTTCACCATACCAGAGCCGTGCCATTCATAAATTTCTAGTTGACAAAGATGCCTGAGAGTTGCCAGAGCTGCAATATTGAACGACGTTAACTCACGAAAGCCTTTAAGGAATAGAGATTGAGTACAACTCTGTAACTTAACGGAACTCAAAAGTCTTTGGAGAGCATCGTAACTTCCCAAGGTGATGGACAGCACATTTAAATATTCCAAACAATCACATTCCTCCACCAATACTTCACCACCACCATCAAATAAAACATTATCCTTTGTTCTATATTTAGCACTGATACCACATTTTCTCATTCTCAATGTACGTAAACTTTGAAGATTAGATATCAATTGACGCGGAATTGTTCGTAGCCGGGTCGTATTCTCCAAGCTCAAACATTTAAGATCTGTTAAGGCTTTTAGTTCAACCGGCAGCTTTATTATAGGTGTACTTGATAGATTAAGATATTGTAATGAAACCAATTTTGATACTCCAACCGGTAATTTAGAAAGCCCACGACTAAATGACAGATTCAAAACTTTAAGAGAAGGCATAAAGTCAAAGAAGTTATCACAGACAAATGATAACGCACCTTTATTGAGAAACAAAGTTTGGAGATCATGGCATCTAGGTGTTTGTGACAAAACCATATCAATGCCTATTAATGATATTTTTCTTACTCCAACCCATTTTCCAATCTCTGGTGCTTGAGTTAATCCAGTGCCTGCTTGAACTAAATAATTTTCTTTTTCCTTCTCAATATCATTAGCTATCCATAAAAGCATGTCACGTATCACATCATGCAATTTTACAAGATAATCTCCTTTTTCATCTTCCTTATCTTTTTCTTCTTCCAATAAACATGCATGAACAAGGATACCAATAATATAATATCCCTCGTCATATACTTCGCTTCTATTAGAGTCATCCAAAAAACCCTCACCTATCCAACAGTCTATCAATTGCTGTTTACTAATCAGAAAATCTTCTGGATATAAACAACAATATAAAAGACAAGATCTAATTTTGTCACTAGGCAAACTATCATAACTGAACTTTAAAAGAGTATACACTTCTGTCCCCATACCTGCAAATTTAGATGCTGAGTTCCTTAACAACTTTGCTGCATGCCTCCATTCTTGAGGTGTGTTCTTGCAAGACATGGCTCGACTAACAGCTAATAGCGCAAGGGGTAGTCCACCACACTCTTTGGCTACAACTTTTGCAAATTGAGGAATATCAGGATGGTCCAAAACTTCACTTTGTAGTTTCTCCTCAAACAATTTCCAAGCCTCCTCATCTCTCAAATAGTCCACTTTGAAATTCTTGTCAGCTTTCATGGAGCCGCAAACTTCAAAAGACCGAGTTGTGAACACTACTTTCGATACAGATTTTGAGTTTGGAATAGGGACACCCACTTCAGTTAAATTAATCCAGCTCCATATATCATCCAGCAATAAAACAAACTTCTTGCTACTCAATATCTTGAAGATATCCCCAGCTTTCTTTTGAAGACTTCTTTTCTTCCAAGATTCATCCTTTAAACCTATCTTTTCGCCAATGTCTTCTTGAATCTTTTCAAAATTTGGAACTCTAGATACCACCACCCAAATAACAACATCAAAACTTTGAAGCTCATTGCAGAACTTATTGTTGATTTGTTTTAGTAAGGTTGTTTTGCCAACTCCCCCGGTGCCGTAGATGCCAATGATTCCCACTTCTTCTCCAACGAGGCATTTCCAAACTTTATCAAATGTGGATTCCAATCCGAGTATTGTTGGTTCAAGAGGAATTTCATCTGCAACGTCATCTGGTACCCTCTCAGCTACCTGTTGGAAAGCAGCTCCCTCACGCCTTAGCTCAGCCACATCTTTCAGCTTTTTAGCCACTTGTTTTCCATACTCATAGCTTGACTTGCAGTTCTTGGAACAGTAGCCTCCAAGACATAATTTGTCAGTTTGTTGAGATTTGAGTTGAAGTAGTTCATCAACTTCGGCTTCTGCCTCTTGCACCTCTTGAAGCCAGCCTTGAACACGGTCCATCCGTTTCATCTGGTTTTGTTCATCAACGCAAACCCTCCGCGTAACATCATTTCTGGTTTGAATTAATTGTTGCAAGTCAGTCTCCAAGGCTTGGAGATTATCTTTGAGGTCGCGAACGTGTTTTGCCCTTCTAATAGTGCAATCTAAGAAGCGAGAAAGAACAGGATCAAATGAACATGAGACAACGTTACCCATAGTTTGTGAGAAGATGTAGTTCAAATGAAGAGAGATAGAGAAGTGATGAGTTTAAAGAAAATAATAATAGAGAAGATTTTTGTGTTGAAGAAAATAATAATAGAGAACAATGGCCCACGATATATGTCCAACTCCATGATTGATCACATGCATGACAGCTTTAAAGCCTTAAATCTTTCTCTTACTGTTTTAAATCAACTCCATGATTGGAGGCTACTGTTCTTTTTTATTATTTTATTTTAATTCTTTTCAAAACAACGTCTTAAATCCTTTTAAAATCTTTCTCTTACTGCTTTAAATCAACAAATTCAGTTGACTTAATTTTATTTTAAAATTTCTTAAAAGCCTTTTAAAGCCTTTATTTACCATAAACAATAGCTTTACTCAAATTATTTTACTTGAAATATTTTTTTCTAAAACCTAAGATAAATGCTTTTATGATTATATTAATTTATTGATTTATTTTAGATTAATCCCCTTTTTTTATTAAATTTTATTCAATAAAAATGTTTTTATCTCATCAAAATTTTTACTTTATCACTTTATATATCTTATTTTATGTTTATATTAATGAGAGATAATCATATTAAAGAAAGATAATTAGGAAACTAATGAAGTCTAAAATATGCCGCTGGAAAAATATTTAATAAAATAAATGGACTTTCAATGAGATAAATTCTCATTAAAGTAAAGCTAATTAGATTAAATAAAAGAGTAATTCATTTTGGATGATAAAGGGCCGAGATTCATTTAAGGAAATGGTAAACAAAAGAGATTAATAATTCGATAAATTTAAATGCTTACTCAACATAATCTCAACCATATCACGGGTTGGTTATATCATGGTTGTCATTAATGTTCCCTTTATTTTCATAAGCACTTATCCTTAATTTTCTCTAGTCTTTCTTATTGTTTATATAGGAAGTGGGTGGGTGGATACATATGTTGAAGTTTTCTTTAATTTAATTATAGGAAGTGGGTAGTTGGGTGGATACAAATGTTGAAGTTTTCTTTAATTTAATTAGACTGATTCCATTTCCAGCTGTACATGGGATAGGCAACAGTAACTCTTGCTAATAGGCTCAAAATTTTCACATTTAAAAGAAAGACCTGTCCCAAGACTATATAAAATATCCTAAGCTTAAAACACTGCTTGTCTAAATAAATTACAAATTCAAATTCAAATTCAAACTCATTAACGAACGGGCCTAATTAATATGGTTCCTTTGACTCTAATTTAATTAAGAAATTATAAACATAAATTGTAGTTTACACTATGTCAGAGAACAAATTTTCCTAATAGAATATAATAGTGGATGAGAAAATATCGTTTTGAAATTTGATGGCTAAAAAAAGTGTCATTTTGAAACTCAATGGTGGGAAAATTTCTTTCTCCCTTAACTTAAAACAAATTATGTCTGGCTCCACATATAAGAATCTTAAGTTAAACATAACTTTATCCACAAAATTCTCATATTAAAATCTAAAATTATTAACGTGTTATTTCATCTTATTTAATTGTATTTATATCAAAATAACTTTCATTTATCACAATCAATATTATATTCATTCTCTTTATTTACACAATTCTCATAATAAATTTGATTTATTTACTTTCAGAATAAGGTGAATGTTTGTATTTTCTTCTTGGATGGTTTCATGCATGTATTCATGAAACCATCCAAGAAGAATATATATATTAAATTAATCATGTATTAGGTGGCTAATAATATGGTATTAGATGTATACAATGACTTGGGCATTGAGTCTTCTTTTACTATCCAGCGATCCAACCTCTCTTACTAGATGTATAAAATGACTTGGACATTGACTCATCTTCAAATTGACTGTTGTAAGATGATTGGAGACTTTAAATTAAATAATTAAATAAACCAATATTAATAGAGAGTTTCCTCTCAGTAATTCATTAAATAGATAAAAGTTAAAAAAATATATATATATATTTTAATTTATTAAAAAAATATTTGAAAGTGAAATATTACTAACAGGATAAATGAGACTTGTTTTTTTATATTAGTTATTCATGCAATCCCAACGCCCCCCCTTTTTTTTTCCGCATTTGCCATTATAAAGTGCAGTAAGAATACTTCGAACAATACAGTAAGATTATTATTCAGAATCCAAAAAGGTTCAACCGATCTTTTTTAGTATGCTACAACTAATGTTGCTGGTAGCCTTCCTGCAAGCACAATTGGATATATTGTCTACTGATTTACTTGATGGTATTGATAATATTGCTAACTCATTGTTGAAGATTGTAGTCAACCATCTCTAATGGTCGTTGGCGGCAGAACTAGGTGAATATATGTATATAAGCCCAATTGCATTAAATTAATCATGTATTAGGGGGTTAATAATATGGTATTAGATGTATAAAATGACTTGGGCATTGAGTGTTCTTTTCCCATCCAACGATCCAATCTCTTTTATTAGGATAATATTTCATATACAAACTTACTCAAATAAATTGATGTATTTTAAGATGATTGAGAGACTTTAAATTAAAAGTAAATTAAATAATTAAATGAACCAAGAGACTTTCCTCTCAGTAATCCATTAAATAGAGAAAAGTGTAAAAAAAAAAAAATGATTTTAATCTTATCATACCTTACTATTCTGTCAAATCTAATGAAATAATTACTTTTCTATTCAATTCAAAATCCAATTCTATTCTATTCAACTCAAAATATTTAACAATTACATTTTTCAATAAAAGTTTTAAAATTAACAAAAATACTCCCACCCACCCAAGCCATTATCACCTGCTAGCAGCCACCGCTACCACTACCGTCACTATAACAACGCACGACCAGTTGAATCTAGCCGATCGTGCACCAATCTGTCTATTACTAGCCAGATCTATGACCAAAGATCTGGCCGTTTTCAGCCAAATCGGCGCACGATTAGCCAGATCCAATGGATTACGCACCATTCTGGTGATTTCTGACCACCGACTGTCGATGATAGTTGGGTGGGTGGTAGTGTTTTTGTTAATTTATAAACTTTTATTGTGGGGGGTGTTTAGTTAAATTAACAAATATAAGAGGTTAAAAATATCTAAATATTTTCCAAAACACATTCTCAAAATCCTATCCTATTTGATTAAATAGTATTCTACAATACAATGCTATTGTAAAAAGTAAAACAAAATATGGAAGCAGAAGTGTGAAAACAAACATATTCAATAAAAATGTTTTTATCTCGTAAAAAAATTTATTTTATCATTTTATATATCTTATTTTATGTTTATATTAATGAGAGATAATCATATTAAAGAAAGATAATTAGGAAACTAATGAAGTCCGCTGGAAAAATATTTAATAAAATAAAAGGACTTTCAATGAGATAAATTCTCATTAAACTAAAGCTAATTAGATTAAATAAAAGAGTAATTCATTTTGGATGATAAAGGGCCGAGATTCATTTAAGGAAATAGTAAACAAAAGAGATTAATAATTTGATAAATTTAAATGCTTTTATCAAGAAAATAGTATGATGAATATGTCTAATATATTCTAAATAAATCAATAAAAGAGATAAAAATGTATAAATTATGAACTATATAATGTTAATCCAAGAATGAAATATAAAATTAATTTATTTTCAGCATTAATTATAATAATTGAATATAAATGCATTATTATTGATAAATAATATTGGAACATTATCTACCATTTAAAATATTTTTTTACAGAAATGACTTATTTTAAACTTGGCAAACAGTTAACAAAAGGTCATAATAGGTATTTCCATGTTAAAATATTAAATAATAAACATTTTCAATAAATGGGAAAAATAAAACTAGAGGGTAGGCAACAGTGACTCTTGCTAATAAGTTCCTTTGACTGACTCCATTTCCAGCTGCGCATGGGGTAGGCAACAGCCAACAGTGACTCTTGCTAATAAGTTCCTTTGACTGATTCCATTTCCAGCTGCACATGGGGTAGACAACAGTGACTCTTGCTAATAAGTTCAAAATTTTCACATTTAAAATAAAGACCTGTCCCAAGACTATGCGAAATATCCTAAGCTTAAAACACTGCTTGTCTAAATAAATTACAAATTCAAATTCAAATTCAAATTTGTTGATGCGTGCATTTGACACCAACTAATCGACACGTGCGTAACGTTGATTGGTCAAGAGACACACGTGATTATGGATAAAATGTAGAGTAAATGCAATAATGAGAGCTTTTTAAAGTGGTTCGGATGCTAAGGTAGCAAATCCTACGTCCACTGATAGTTGTATTAGAATCGTGGGTCAGGTCGCAACAGCGGACTGACTTACAAATGATTAGGGAAAAGTAAATACAAAGATACAAGACAGAGAAAGAAAGTTCAAAGTGTAGAAAAGCCGAATCCCTTTAATGAAAGAGTTTTTCCTTTTTATAGTGAGATGAGTGCAGATAATCATCATTAAATCCGTGGGTTGGTGTGAATGTCAGGACTAAATCCGGCTTTATGTCACATTGCCCACCTTCCAAGCTGATTTCACGCGATTTGGAGCAGGGAATGGACACATGGGAGCTCCACGACGTCTTGCAGGCCTGACGTGCGCTTACCGTTCTGACGGGAGCAGGTCACCCCCCATCACGTGATTTCCCACGTCAGTCATTGATTTCCCAGGCATAACAGAAGTCCCCTAGTTTTTAAGGTTTGAGGATCAAACCTTGGAAACTAAGTCATGCCGCGATTGGAGGCCCTGACCATTCCGACCTGAATGAAAGAAGCTCGGGATAGGACCTTTTGCGAACATGACTTCACGCAAACCTCGTCCAAACGACCTGACAGCCATCGCCCAAGCGTCCTAACTTCATCGGGCGTTCTTTATTGTGCCTTAGAGATGGAGATTTAATGAGGTCGTTTCTGCACTGACAGGCGCTCTGCGCGTGTCAAGCGTCTACCAGGCGAATTAAATGCGTTGTGTGCTGACGCGTTACTACTTTGGCAGAGCATTAATTGCATGACACGCCCGAAAC